CTTGAAGGGTTAATATCGTTCCGAGATTCCCTAGTTAATAGTTTAGCTGCCAAAATTCTCACTAGCCCGTAGGTAGTAGCCGAGAGTGCGAAAACGCTGAATTTGAATGGGCAAGGTTGAACGTGAGAACTGGGTCATTACCCTAAAGTTTTAGCCTCCTAGACTCCGTGGTTCCCGAGATATTAACTTACCCGTGAAAAATTTTCACGGTACCGTACGCGTTACCCGCGGGTACGGGGAAGCTGAATTTGAATGGGTAAGGTTGAGCAGGGGTAGAGGTCATTACCTTAAAATTTCAGCCTCCTGGACCCCGTGGTTCCCGAAATAATAATTTACCCGTAAAACTTTCCCTAGCCCGCAGGTGATACCCCAGGCCGCGGGAACGCTGAATTTGAGTGGGCAAGGTTAGGCGTGGGGAGGGGGTTATTACCCTAAAATTTCAGCCTGCTAGTCTCAGTGGTTCCTGAGATATTAATTTACCCGTAAGAAACTTTCACGGGGCCGTACGTGTTACCCGCGGGTAAGGGAAGGCTGAATTTAAATTTTGCCGCGTCACCCGTTGGAGGGGAACACTATACCAAAATTTCAGCCGCCTAGCTTTTGGGGTTCCCGAGTTGAAAGTGCGGGACAAAACGTGGGACACACACACACACACACAAACACACACACACAAACGCACACATGCACAGACAACCCCGTGACAATATGCGTTTTGTAGCGCTGTTACACAGCACAAAACGCATAAAAAGCGAAGTAAGAAAGGGAAAGGGGAGTATGGAAATATTTGTAGTAGGTAAGAAATGTTTCGGTCCATTAAGTCGTATACATATCTTACCGTTACCACAGTTGGACCTCTTCATTACGACGGTGTATATGTATGTGCGTATATGTGCGCCTTTGTGTGTGTGCCTGTTCGCGTTGGTTGGATGATTATGATATTTGGGCGACAAGACGGACTAGGCTGTTCGGATGATGAGTGTGTGTGCGTATATGTGCACCTTTGACTGTGTGTATGTGTATGTTTATGTATATGTATGTGTGCATGTATGCTATGTAAATATACGTGTGCGTGTATGTGCATGTATGTTGTATGCATTTTACGCGTTGGTTGGGTGGTGACGATATTTAGGCGACAAGATGAACCAGGCTGCTCGGACGATATGGCGATAGTGCCGAATCTACTTGTTGTAGACGCCGGGCTAACCAAACAAAACTTTATCAACACAATAAAAAGAATACAGTCGCAGTTTGAGTCGGATGGGCTAGGGACGAAATGTTGCAGCACGGCTACAGACGGAGAACACGTTGAACACTACCCAACACTAAACTTTACAGAAAAATTCACATGCTTATATACTTATCACAAAGGGCGGAACAGATCAGTGGCGGTTGAAGGATCTAACTTTGTCTTCTGTCTTCTACTTTTTATTTTTACAAGCACATCAACTAGCTTATTCAGTTTCCTACCTTACTAAATTACCATTCAAAATTCTTTTATTGCCACAATCGTCGTTCTGACGAGGTCCAATTGTGGTAAAGGTAAGAAATGTATACGACTTAATGGACCGAAACATTTCTTACCTACTTAAATAATTCTTTAGAACCCTTTCATTGTTTTTTGCTCATATTTCCTCTCTAACCCTAAATCAGATTGAGGTTTGATTCTGGGTTGTTTTACGCCTTTCCTGCACGCCTTTTTTTGCTCGCTGTACATATGTCTTTGTCAAATTTCTCCCCAAAAAGGTTTCTGTGAAAATTTTGCGTACGAGAAAACAGTATTTTTGACGACATGCAGTGTTCCGCTTCAAAATCGATTTTCAGTATTTTGTTGGATTCGCTTCGGACCCTGTTCTCACGGAGCACCGTGGAAACAGCAACGAGTACAGCTCGACAAGCACATGAAATTGAGAATGTACTGCTCGCGGTCACCCACAGTTCCCAGCACTGTGACGAATCGTTCAGAGACATTATTTGGCCAGCTGTTTTGAAATTCCTCCTTGATGCTGCTGATTTGCTCCTCTCTGGACAATCATGTGCCGGTAAGTCATCGCTAGACATACCGAAACATTTCTTACCAATTTTTTAAAAAATTTTTTATGAAAATAATTTTTGAAAATTTAAATAGTGTAATTCTTTTCCATTTCCTCTTTTTGGTTTTTCCATTCTTTTCCTTTTTTCTCTCTCTTTTTTTTTCTACTTTACTTTCTCCTTAACTGCTACTAACTTTCAAATATGCATTAGCAAGTTGAGTGAGAAAGAGAGGTAATTCTGTTGTTTTTTTTTTTTTTTTTTTTTTTTT